CACTCAGTTGGCATAAACTGTAATTCAATCAGGGGCTATGCTGAGATTTACCTTTGAATTATATATGGAAAAAATAAAAACATGGTAAAGACTGAAGGGGGATGTTTAAATCTCTTTAAGGAGTCAAACTTTTAGATATCAAATGCATAGACAAATTAGGAAATATCTTTATTCATTAAAATAAGTCTTCTGTAAGGGTAGTTATTTGTCAAAACACAGTATTAAACTGGAATATTTCTGTATTCTTGAAAACAATCTTAAAACTATTCTCTATCTGACTTTTCACTAATTCAGAATGGATTCACCTTCATATCGTCTCAGCTGGTGAGATTTTATTTTCTTCCAGTTTCCCCTCTCCTTGCAATGAGTTCTTTCTAAGGCTGACTCTCTCTAGTTTAGTTAAGCTCATTCACTCTGGTATTGTCCTTAAGCATACACAACAGTTGGTCAGTGCCCTCTTTATGATAACTCTTTGTACTTGAGGATGATAATTAAAGTGCCTTTTGGCTCTCTTTCACCAGGCTAAACAACCCCAACTCACTTAGACTTTCCTCATATGCCCTATTTTCTAAAGCTTTAATCCTTTTTTTTCTTCCTGCTTTTCTCTGGATCGTCTCCAATTGCTTTGCAATTGTTTTGAGAGGTAACTTGACAAGCAAGCCTAATCTAGGGTGTGGCATCAGTTAAATATTTAATAGATGACATAGAAATTAAGAAAGGTGGTTCAGTGTAGGGCTAAGAGCACTGGAATAGGAGTCAGAAGACTTGAGTTCTGTCCTTGCTCTTCCACTTACTGGGATTGAGCAGAGGGCCACATTTGGACAAATCATCTAAATGTCTCTAAGCATCAATTTATTATCTGTATATCTGGGATAAGCACAACTGCCCTGCCTGCCCCCCCCCCCACCAGTGAGGCTCAAATGAGATAAATCTATGTGAAAACACTTTGTTTAGCTTCAAAGCACTATACAAACACTATGTGTCAGGCACCTTTCTAAATGCTTTGCATATATAAACTCATTGAGGTACAAATACCATTGTGCAATCAATAAATGGAGGCACAGAGAGTTAAGTAACTTGCTCCAGGTCACACAGCTAGAAAGTGACAGAATACATGCAAACTGCCTCCACAGTCCATACTCTGAAACTCTATGCTATGCTGCATCTCCAAATAAACATTAAACACCCAACAAAGGCATTCATTTTATGGGTTCTGACCTTCAAAAACAGTCCACAGGTATACACTACTGGGATGGAAGATCTATTCAGTCATAGGTAGATAACTCTATGAGAGGCAAACTGTTTAACAGTTAATGTTTAGATCGGTCATTGAATTAAGGCAGCTCTCCACCAGTGAGTAGCACCTCATGAACACAATACAGTAGTAGGAATTGCTATATCAGGTCAGGTCAATGGTTCATTCATCTTAGTACACATATATCTTCCAATAGAAGGTGCTCTTAATTCTTAGATTCAGGATCTATAGCTTCTCAATATTCTTTGTGAACCCCGACAACCATTCATGTTTTCATTTGTTTCTAACTCCGTTTGTATGTTAATTCTTGTAGCTGTAAATTTGGAATACTTTTAAAAATAGATTAACTGTTAAGTACAAATATTTAAGACATATTAGTGTCTAATAGAGTCTTTTTTTCCTGCTGTACAACAGCTGGTCAGTGCCTTCTTTATGATAACTCTTTATACTTGAGGATGATGATTAAAGTGCCTCTTGACTCTCTCTTTCACCAGGCTAAACAACCCCAACTCATTTAGACTCATTTAGGGCTGAAAGAGATCAAAACAAGCTTTCTAAATAAATGTTGGAAGAATTTTGATTTACCCCATAAGTATTTGAACATTCACAAGGAAAATTAGAATCTATATCATGCAATGGGGAGGTTATGCTACATAATACTGTATTGATTATCTGCTTATGTTTGAAAAATTGTAGCATATTGAGGTCTTTTCATTATCATCCATTGGATATAGTGTACAATATGAACTTACCTTATGCCAAAATATGATTTATAGGGAATAGGGTTATAGTGGTGTAACAGGCTCTTCTACCTCAAATAGTGGCATTAAGGGTCATTTTATGGGAGGCTTTAGAAGTTTCCTTCCATGAAAATAACCTCCCCCAAAAGCTGAAAACACCTTTGAAGAATGGGGGCATCTTTTGGAAAGACTGGATACTGATTGAATTATAAATGTTATTCCAACCCGTGATCTGTATAGTGAATTATGATAAATCAAGAACGGTTAGGAACCAATGAGAAAAGTGGTATTTCTGCATGTTAGTATAAAATTGTATAGAAAGTATTTTGAGGGATACTGTCAATGTGCACATAGAAAATAGGAAGATAGAAAGTGAGACATGAAAAGAGAGAACAAGGTTTTTGAAAAATGTTACTTTCATTTTCCTAGAAGTGGTTAGTAATAATGATTATTTTTTCCATAAAAGTTTATGCCTTTTGAAGTGATTATAACAACCATGTGAGGTAGAGCAAATTTTATTTTCCCCATTATGTAGATGAGACAGCTGAGGCATAGATATTTAAGTGACCAGCATCCCACAGCTATATAGAATTCAGAGTTCTACCCACTGATTTTTTTATTACAGCATGCTGAAAAACCCCAGACTCCAGTATAAGGTCCTATAAAACCCAAAAGATTTAACAAAATGTAAGATATTCAGGAAGTCAAAGTCACTAGTACAAAAGAAGGAAAACAAAGTACTGCAAGGAGGATGTTCCTCTGCTGTAGGCTATTAAGTAGGTCACCCACTAAAAGGCTATTTTGGTATCAAATTTTAGAGGGCATGTAGTACATACACCAACATCACTGACCTGATTCTTCACTTTCAAGATCTAAGAAAATCAAAGGCAGGTTTTTTGTTGTTTTTTTTTTTTTGAAGAGAGGGGTGGGTCATTTGGATAGCTCAAGAGAATGTTAGTTGGGAAATTTGATTTAGCTAGGAGAGTGCTCTAGATTTTCTGTGAGGTGTGATTCACTAGAGGTGATGCTGTTTTTAATAAGGGGACAGCTTTGTATCTCTACAGTGCAGAGTCAGCAATTTCTTATTCTTTCCTTCCTCCCTCTCCCC